GCGTCGTTTGAGACGTGCACACAGAAGCGGTTTCAAAAGTCTGAGCTTTTCATAAGCGATCAGTATTTATTCAGGGTTAGATGTTCATTAATAACAATTAAATTTTCAGTTGTGCCAAATAACAACAGGGAGCTTTATGCTGTAAGGTCGACCTACAATAATACACACAGAGAAAAACCCAACAATCATATGACCCCCTATGAGCAGCACTTTGGCGACAGTGGGAAGGAAAAACTCCCTTTTAACAGGAAGAAACCTGCAGCAGAACATCCAGGTGATTCAGCCTGACGTGCAGAAGCGTGCAGTCGTGTTCGCACTCACATCCTGCATTATTTGAGCGTTAATGATTTGCAGCAGGTGACTCAGTCAGCTGTGGGCCACCAACAGGACGTGGGGGCGGTCCTAAAGTTTCGCTCTGAGTGTGTGATGTTTGAGTCTCACTGATTTCCTCTGTTTCCTCAGCCTGTCGAGGACTTCAGCACCTTCTTATCAGCCGTGATCGACGACAAGGTAAACATCCTGTCGCTTAGAAAAAGTCTCAGTGTTAGTATGTCGGTGGGTGACGTCACGAGCCCCGTTTGCTCCTCCTGCAGTCGTTTGGGCGGATAAAGAAGTGGCTCGAGCGCGCCAAGTCTTCCCCAAACCTGAAAGTCATCGCCGGAGGAAACTGCGACGACAAGAAGGGCTACTTCGTGGAGCCGACCATCATCGAGACCAAAGACCCGCAGGACGCCATCATGAACGAGGTACAGACTGAAAATCAGCGTTTTTACCGCCTACAGGACGGCGCTCGTGTGTCCGACAGAAACGACTAAACGAATCAGAAACGCGAGGAACGAGAAGAACCGCAAAGTTAAACTTGTTCTTTGACTTTAGAAAGCTTTAAGTTTACGTTTAGCAGGAAGTGCTCGTGCTGATTTGTGGTTTTTCCATAAGCGTCCACACGGGGGCGCTGCAGGCGGCTGCTTTCACGCGATCGATGAAAGGAAACCACGCAGACTTGAGTTAACTTCATCTGCTCCGTTATTTCTCCCTCTTTGCTTCTTTTGTCTCGAAATGTTTGAGTTTTATTTATTTTGAACATGTTTAAAACATACAAACAAAGAAGCTTCAGCTTGTTCCCATCACCTCGGCAACCGTCTCCCTACTTCCTGTGTGCATCCTTCATGAGTCCTTATTTACAGTTTCATGTATGCAGCTTGGCGAGCGCACACAGGCGTGTCGGCGAGCTGCGTGAGCGTCCATGTTGTTTTTCAAACCTCACCGCGAAGGATCATTATTACCTCAGCTGCTTTCCTCACGATGTTGTCATGTTCACGCCATCTGCATGTGTCCGCCTTCCTGATCCCATGTTTCTGCGTGTTTAAATGAACACGCGTGTTCTGCAGGAGATCTTTGGGCCCGTCCTCGCCGTCTACGTTTATCCTGAGAAGGACTACAGAGAGGTTCTGCGGCTGATCGACACCACGTCGCCGTACGCGCTGACCGGAGCCGTGTTCGCCAAGGACGAGTAAGCCACTTCCTGTTTGACTGTCAGTGGGTTACAGTGAGAAAGAGGCGGAGCTCTAACAGCGATGGATTCAGAGGAAGTT